TTTCATCATTGGAACCTGCACTAGACAAATTCAGAAGATAAAAAATATTCTACTTTAAAATCACTGCAGGTTCCATGTGAAATTTACTTGTTTTGCTATATGGCTCAGATGGCTTGTATAAAAAGTGGAAATATTACATTCAAGTTGAGTAATAACAAGTTGAGTTTAAGGGTCATGTCGGTGGAGAGTAGAGAGGTTTATCTCCATTTTTCTCATGCTCTATCTGATCTGTTGTACCTGGTTCGATTGCAGCACTCTCTCTTCTGGGTCAGAAGGTTGGGGTTTCAAGTCTCGTCTCAGTCTGCGCAAATTGGCTTCCGTATTCACCTACAAATGCGCTACTCTTTCCAGTAAAACTTTGTGAAGCACTTTGAGACATTTTGACTTGATACAGCGCAAATCTGATGCAGATCAAATGTAAAGATTATTATTATTACCTGCTCTGAACTATAGAATATTTAATGCGATGTTTCAACTGGCAATATGCTCCATTTTCCAGGTCGTCCCTCACCTCTACAAATACAACTTCCAACTAAACATAACATTTTTAACGTTCACCAGAAACATCTAAACATGCAAATGAGACTTATGTTTCAACATCTATTCCAGAGAATGATAACTCAATAATACAGCACTGTCTCAGTGTAGTGCTGTGTCAGCCAAGATTATGTGATCAAGTCCTGATATGGGGTTCAAACCCACAACTTTCTATCACAGTTGAGAAGATTCTCACCTGAACTAAACTGACAAATAATGGAAATAGAAAAAGTATAGTTAAAGGGAAAGTGTTGCAATTTCTTTATATTTCCTGCATATTTAGTTTCCTCCTTTCTATGTGCTAATTAACTTGCCACTCTCCCTCCCCAGTGACCAAGCTGAGATCAGGAATTCAGCATGTGGGAATCCAAATCCAAATTGCATACAATGACTTAATTATTGTGGCCTACCCACTCATTCCTTAACTTATTTCTACATTCAGCAGGTGGGGATTTTACTGCTCAGTGGCACTACTGTACGTATTCATACAACATTAATATCTATTTATATTGTTTTCTTGCCACACTGTCTGTGAAACAAATAAAGGTATTCAATTGACCGCTACAAAACATTTAAATGCATGATTTTGTTATCCAACATCAACTTTAAAATTAAAAGCAGTTGGAATTTCAAGATGCTAGCCAAACCACTTTGACCTAAAGAATTAAAGTACATGCTTATAATGATCCCTTATTAAATAGATAGAGAGATAACAAGATTATTATAGGTAGACTCAAGTTAAAATTATACCACAAATGAGGATGAGGAACTTCCAATTTACATTTGTCAATTAAAATTTATAAGTGATTTATGTTCAGATAAAATCACTTGAAATAACTCTAAAATAATTTGCAATTAGAACATATATGGATGCATTGGTTACCAATAAATGTAATTTGACATGTGAACTCCATTTTCCACCTTCACATTTTACTGTTATTATTACCCTTTTACAGAAACAGGAAATTGAATTTCTAAAGAAACATGGTGCTTCATAACAGTTTTTTTGGAGGGGGGGGCGGAAGAAGACTAATTTTCCCCAAAATATTACTTGAAACAATCGCTGGTCTTTTTACAACAGCTCAATTTGCTATCTTGGAGATGCAAAATAAATTAAGTTAAATTTACTACATGCAGAACAGACAGAAATACTGTATGTTGGGAAAAGTAAGATCGATATTGTAAACTGCATGGCATGGTGAAATAATTTAGATCAAACAAAATAAAGTGAATAACATTAAATTATCTTAGAATTATCAGTCAAGCAAATTCATACATAATGATAGAAAATGGGATTGAATACAAGCCTCACATTTGTGTACCTTATTGGTAGATTAATCCCAGTTTGATTATTGCTCAAGATGTTGGCGGGAGATAAAGTTGTTTGTGGCTGATCCATTTACTTGGATGTGTGAACTTATCCAAAAAACATCCTTGACAACAACATCTTTTGTCTGCTTAAAAGAAAAATATGCAGTTCCCTGAAGCCACAATTGGTATTGCTCTGAAAAATGCCACTTGTACATCGTCATGGAGATGCTAGAGAAAGAGTTCAGTCATCTCAGACCTACGTCTGGCAAACTGTTAACTGGAGAAAATGTTTCAATGGCAAGAGTTGACAGACAGAGAAAGAATCCAAACATCTTTTCTTTGAAGCCATTTGACTATGAACTTGCATTTAATGTCGCATTCAGCCAAAGCTGAACATTTAGCCCAGTTCCCTGTAGAACAGTTTCTTACTCAGTTCAGTTGCCAGTAAGTGAAGTCTCATCACTAAACTGTACTTATTCATCTCCAAACTGATAAACATACTCAGTGAAGTCTTAGGATGACTATTTGGGGAAGTAGAAAATGTCACATTGGTGCAGTGCTGAGGTTGAGGCTGAGACACATGATGAGACCGAGGAAAGGAGTTTTGCTCCACTTCCAGCTGTATATACCTCACCTGAGGCGTTTGGAGAAAGGAAACTTGCCTAACATTTCGCCCTGTCTGGGAATCCAACCCAGGTCCTCTTGCTTGTGAGGCGAGTGCTCTAACCACTGAGCTACAGGACTCCAAGGTATGATTCATAAAATTAAAGTCTGGTGCAAGGCATCAAACTATAGTGAATATTCAATAATAATGGATAATGAATGATTAGAAGTCAGGTATAAAACAGAAATGAGCACAGGGAGTTTAAACGAGCAATGGCAATAAAAGTCACTTTCTTGAGATCATTAGAAATCAATTGTTACTATGGACCTATGCAAGTCAATTTAATTAATTGTATTTATTTCTTACTAACGTATGCGTGAGTCTCATACTGGAGTTTTCAAATGCTGGCTTATGTGATTTGACAGTTATCACATCAATTATTAAATGCAAGTTCATAGTTAAATATCAAAAAACTGCAAAAATTCAGTCAATAATTATCAACTGGTTTCAGCTCAAAACACCCTGCAGTTTTGGGACAATGGTTTGCTCTGTTGGAGCTCTAAAAAAGAGCCAATCTGCCAAAATGTTTTTTCTTGATTGAAAGGCAACATCTGAAGTTTTAGATCTCAAGGATTTTTTTTTGTTCTTTAACCATTAAGGAGTGCAGTTCTACACTGATGTTAGTAATCATCTTGTACACTTAAATTTGACATTGAACGTAAAGATGTACAGTATGGTATATCTATGGTTTGGTATTTTAGCAACACAAAGAAACTCAATTGCAACATGGTTGGATGGGTCCAATGTCTCATTGGCTGTGTTGGAAGCGAGATACAAAACTAAGATGACTTTTGTGTCATCGGCTCATCATTGGTGCCACTTCCTGCACGCAGGATGTCACCTTGTTTCAAAATGCCGTTAGTGATGCTTCTTGCACATAATGCACAAGTGACGTTAGTCGCAACCTGACCACCTGCAAGACGGCCTTGTTTTAGTGTGAGTTGTCAGGACAAGAAGTTGGGTGGACTTCTGCTTCCGGTTCGTGTGTGTCCAAGAAACTAGACTAAGAACACAATAATGGGGTTCCCCTGTTATTTGAGGCAGCAGAATCTTGGAAAATGTGGGTAATAATATATAAAATAATATTTCATAGATTTGGACTGAGAATGTACAATTAATTGAGATATTTTTCCATTGTTCCTTCAAATCCTTTGAAATGAAAACATTTGTTCTTCACCTCTACTGCCCAATTTAAAAAGCATTGAAATGGGTTCCTGCAAACCTTGCTTACTTAACTGTACAAAAGGTTTGTTCAGAGCCGAAGTAGATCATCTGAATGGAGGCAGATGCGATCAGCTGATTGGCCTACTCCTGTCTTAAAAACTTTTTATGATACCATGATTCTAAAGTTCTGCAGAAAACGACTAAAATAAAGCTCAGAAGGTTGACAAACACTCCCCTCAGATTATGTTGATAGATTCTCTGCGTTAAAAATCACTTCAAATGAAATAAATGTATTTATTTGGTCAGCTGGGTGTCTGACACATGTGGAAACCCATGCTAAAGAGTATTCAAATCAAACAGAGTTCTGTGCATCCCATCTGGAAATTCCAAATATATTTATTGGAATGGAATGAGCACTCTGTCCCTGGAATGAACCATCCTGCTTACCTAATTCCATAAAGTATTAGGCGCAGGTTGGCAAGAGCCAAGGCTTGTGTATCCCAGAGTGTGTGTTGGGGTACTGCTGGAGTCTAACCAATTAAAACTGCATACCTTGTCAACGAAAGCATTGGCTGACGTGCTTGTAACATTCAATGTAATACTGAGATTAGATTGCAATATGCTAAGAAGAAAAATCTTTAGGTGTCACTTTTTAGACAAGTTTCAAATGCAATCTAATTTGTGCCATAGCAAGGGTAGAACTTTTTTTTAATGCATTTATGTAATGCATTTATTTTGAGGCTAATTAAACTTGTGTCAGCTAAATATTTGAGACGTTGATTTCCATCTGGAGGTCAGTGTGTAACAAAAAGCTGAATGACAGTGATTACAGGGGCTAACATATATCGCAGCCATCGAAAGTTGTGGTGTAATCAGGATCTACCTTCATTTATATTCAGCTCTGCATTACACAGGCCACACAATCTTAACCTATCCATTTAGATAATTAAAGTTTCCATTTGTAAGGATCCTTCAGGAAGAGGTGAAGTTTGGGAGATAAATGCCTGCCTGCTTCATGCATCTCACTGGTTCCATTACTTGATGGACTGTTTTAAATAGCCTAGGTTGCCAGGTCCTCATACAAATGGAGATGGATTGGCCTGCAGAGAATACTCTCAAAGGAAAGCTGACTTTGTCATCTTTTTGGCTAGATGTAATTCAATTGTTAGCAGGGGTGGGCAGCTGACTCAGGAGAAATGTCTTTTTCCAGCCCCCATTTACTGAGAAATGACTCCATCGCATTAATTTACAAACTAACCTTGTTTAGCAATAGGAAACGTTACTGCAGTAGTTCAGTGCTTGACATGTCTGTACTCCAACTCACCTTCCAAGCTATTCGGTTTCCTCTTGTGCTGTGCTCCAGGGCTATAGGGAAATCGCCTCGTTTGTAGCACTTGCGAAATGCAGTCGGTCCAGAAGGTCTCTCTCGAAAAGCTCCTGCAGATGAAGGACCAACCACCTTAAAAGCAATTTAAAAAGTGTTATATATTTGGATCTTTACAATTGTGAAAAGCTTCAGTAAATATCATTTTGATCCTTAGTTAAGTTATTTGTGACACGCTTTATAATTATACAATTGCATAGATACACTAAATGACAAACTACAATATATGTTAGTGATTTGTTTTTACATTGGTTATCAAATCTAAGACATTATAAGGTTTTCTTACAATACTGAAAGACAGTGTTCTTTGGCAGTAAAATTAAATGAACTAGTAAACGTAATTTAAAACTATTTATTCAAGATTTATTGACTAGAATCCTTTGTTCTAAACAGGAATATGCTGACTCTGTTAAACTGAAAAACAACCCAATTAATGTGGACCAGCAAAAAAATGATGGTTTTAGGCTGGAGTTCTGGACCACCATAGAACTAAGTAGGTGACTGAGATTAGAGAACCTGACATTTTGCAATTATGGAAAATGGTGGTGTAATAAGGATCAACCTTATATTCTGTTCTGCTTAGAATAGCCAGCAAGGAGTCACTTGGCATTCTACAACTAAGGAATTCAAAAAACATCGTAAATAACCAGTGTTACTGGATTTCAATGCAAGTTATCAGATCTCAGATATTTTGTTACTGATGTGAATGCTGTGCTGCATATCATTTTTAAATAACACAGATTTGTTTGTTTTTTATCAGTAGAAATTATGAATGAAGAGACTCACTGTTTTTCAGAAATGCCTCCTGTCCTTTGATACTATGAAATACTAAGGATGCAGTGACACAAAACTGCATGACTCTGAATTTAACAAAAATCTGGATTAATCTCAAATTTGCAAAGTAACTTTTGAATTGTGCGGGACATTGTGCATATACATGGAAGTAATTTCTTGTCCTTTCTGCACACATGTAACACCAAATATTTGAATGCACCTTCACCTTTCATCAACTAGCTTGAAAGTGATTTGTGATCTATTATAATATTATTATTATAATATAACCATTTTATTGGGATGCATCAACCAACAGACCAGGCTCCACATTCATAAGCACATTTTTGTACAACCATATATGAAGGCAGAACACTTAAGAACTAGGTACAGAAACCGAAGATTGGATTCTCTTTGTTTCATCCTTCAAATGAAGACTTCAGTATAAATGGGTATGAGAATAAGCGGGTAATTTATGACTGGAGCAGTTAACTCCAGTTGCACCAACTTGATGGGACAAATGGCTGCGGGGAATAAATTTGCCAATAATTCGCATTAAATCTGTTATTCTTTTTAACTAGTTTTTAAATTTCCTTATTACATCTGACCATTGAATTTATCCCCTTCTCTTCCCCAGCAACATTGTTTTGCTCAGAATTTCCTCTCTCCGATGCTGGGCCTGATCACTGAAATTGCTATTTTGAATAAAGACATTTAATTCAATCAATATCCTTGTAGCAATACTAAATTTTTTGCCTCGCTTTAAGAACTGACTTGTTAATAAATGGTGAGTTTTTTTCAAAACACAAAAAGGATAAATTCAATGCTTGGAAGTTGGGAAAGAGGTTTAGTTTCACGACCAACAATATAGTTGCTGCATTTCACAGAAAAAACACAGTGAAGCTCTTTCAAATGTTTGGATGAAACACTATATCAAATAAAAACATAAGAATTTGCTAGGCTAAAGAAGACCAAAATCCATCTAATTTGCTGTCCACCATCCTGGCAGTAGCTTGACATGTCGCGTCTCATACTGTATTCCGAGATATTATTTTCTAGCAGAAATCTATCTAATTTGTTCTTGAAACAAACATTTTCTACTTCCACTGTCTCCCTAGGGAACCTGTTCCATAAGTTTACTACTCGCTCACTGAAGTAGTGTTTCCACAGATTTGTTCTAAATTTACTCCCCGCTTCAATCGCAGGCTGCGTCCTCTGGTTCTGCTGTTCAGCACAAGACAAAACAGCTTATCATGGTCTACATTATCTATTCCCTTCAGAATCTTAAAGACTGTAATCACATCGGCTCTCAACCTTCTCTTCTCAGTGTGAACACGGTCAGTTTATCTAACTGCTCCTTGTAGTCCAGTCCCTCTATCCACTCAATCATTTTGGTTGCCCTCCTCTGTATTCTCACAATCGCTGCAATATCCTTTTTATATTGTGGTGACCAGAACTGCACACAGTATTCCAAAGTGTGGTCACACCAGTGATTTATAAAGTGGCAGGACTACTTCACTATTTCAGCTCAATATTACTCTTTTAATAAGGCCAGCATCCAGTTTGCCTTACTGCTACTGAGCACAAGTTACATGCTGCAAATTTCACTCAGTATATTTCTGCTTCACTGATATTATCTTGAGCTATAGAATATAGCATTCCTTTTTTTTACTATTAAGAAACAATTTATAATCCAAATATTTTGAAAGTAAAATGCACTTTGCATTTTGATATCATGCCAAAATGGTCTCCATTGGAAAAAAACTTTTGTTCAGCCAATTGTGTTTTTGTGTTTATTCAGATGGACTGCAGTTTTACCAAAACGGACAACGTCTCAGAGCGCTTCACAGTAACAGATCCCGGGAACGAGCCAGGGGGAGGGGGAGGGGGAGGAAGGTGACCAAAGGCGCGGTCAAAAAGAAAGATCTTCAGCAGAGACCTGAAAATAGGAAGGGAGGGTATGAGACGAAGGGAGTGAGAAAGGCAGTTCCAGAGCCTCGGGGCACAGGCAGGCAGGCTGACAGAACATCAGGGGACTGGGGGTCGCAAAGAGAGGTGGAAAAATAGAGTTGGGTGTCATCCGCATACATGTGGAAGTGTACCTCATGTCTGCGGATGACATCCCCAAGAAGGAGCATGTGGATCAGAAAGAGGAGGGGCCCAGGTGAGAGCGGGAGGAGAAGCCGTTTATGCAGATGTGCTGCTGGCAGTTTGTGAGGTAGGACTCGAACCAGGCGAGTGCCGTCCCACTGAGGTGGATGACGGAGGAAAGGCGGTGGAGGAGGATGGGGTGGTCGACTGTGTCGAACGCGGCAGAGAGGTCCAGGAGGACAAGGAGGCAGAGGGAGCCCTGGTCACAGATAGAGAGGATGTCGTTTGTGACTTTCACAAGCGCAGTCTCTGTACTGTGGGCGGAAACCGGACTGGAGGGGTTCAAAGAGGGAGTGGGAGGAGAGGTGTGTGAGGAGTTGATTGGCAACAACGCATTCTGGAACTTTTGAGAGGAAGGACAGGTTAGAAATAGGGCGGTAATGTCCGGGATTTGAGGGATCCAGGACTTTCAGGTGGGACTTGAAAAAGGGGAGAGAGGGGGCAAGGCGAAGGGATTGAGGGAGAGTGTTCCAGAGTTTCCGGGCGAAGTGACTGAATGCGAGACCTCCAATGGTGGAGCGGAGGGTCGGAGGGACAAGCAGGAGGCCGGTGTCAGTCGAGCAGATGTGGAATGGGGAGTGAGAAGTTTGGAGAGTTTAGAGGAAACAAATCCACTTCCTCTAAACCTGATTAACATCATAACTTTAAAAAGAGCAATTACTTAAGATTTTTTATTCTATCTTTCCATGAGCAGGCTATATTTGCTTTTGTTTTGCTCTCAAAAGTAAAAGCCGCCATAAATTTAATTTAAAAGGACAAAAAAATGGAATGCAATACTTTGATTTGAATACGTATAATGTGAACGTTTTTTATTTTATTGTTCTAAAAATATTGTCAGTAAGCATGCTGCGACTGTATATAGTTTATGATCACATATTGGTAAACTAAATAATTAGATATTGAGTTTACATCTATATCCTGAGCTTCATCTGCAATGTGTGTCTTCTCTCTGGTTTGTTTTCATTGCTGTGCTGATCAATGCCTGTGAGATTATTGCTCCCATTGTTGCATCCCAATAACATGAGCTGTGTTTTTTAGCCTGCAGTGTAAGATTACTTGGGCTGCAGATAATCCCATGATTGCTATTAACACCCTTTAAGTAGAACACTCTCTATCATCCAGCCCGTGCAAGAGTCAACAGTGACACAATGTTCAGTTGTCAGTGAATATTAAGTTCCCAATTTATGATCGTCTGGTTGATATTCCAAATACTGTACTGATGCAGCTACAAGGCTGGCCAATGCTTGGGAGATTAATTTCAACATCAATTTGATTCTTGTACCCACAGCTTGTTCTGACATAACATATTAGAGATGAGTTCAGTACCAGACTGAAATATGGATTCCAAGTCAGAGTAGCTCTGCACTAATTCAATAATAATTTAGTTCTAATCACCTGAATATGTGCATATTCAGCACAACATTATGAATAATATGTTCAAAAATGATACCGAAATAAACAAATAAATCTCACATTTAGTACTACAATATACAGAATACCAAAAGTGTTTTTTTTTATTTGGATTATTTCTAAGATTCAGTCATCTAAATCAGAATTGGCATCAAACATTCCTTCAGTGCTAGAGGGATTTATTCTGAATAGCCCTAGCAAGATTGTAAATGGGCAATGTCATTGACTGTGAGTGTTTGAGCCATGAAAGACTATTTCTAAATATTTCTTCTTGCTATGTTCCACTGCTGTGCCAGTAAATAGTAATGTTTTATCATTTGCACCATGTCATTTAAAACATTGTGAATTCTAAATTATTTAACGCCCAGTGTACCATTTGTGACTTTCTAACTGATATTGCTAGTCAGGAAAGCATAGTATGGAAAATTATTCTTAACTCAAAAAATGCTGAGTTTAAATACTAAAGGGAACTGTATAGTGTACTGGTTGGAACATCATACCTGTATTCTGGGATAAGAAATATTGAGTATCCCGTCAGAGTATTTGTCAATAAAGAAACTAATTCAATCATGAAATTATATCACATGGTTTGTGGTTATGACAAACCCTTAAATTCCTCAATACAAATCCTCTTTCTCTTGCTAAGCATCAGTGTTGATGCACGCCATAAGCAGAATAGCATGAGGAAAACAATAACCATCCATCAAGGTCACCAATGCATTCTAGTGTTTTGTGATCAATCA